ACCTCTTCGTCCCACGCCACATCCCGGGCTACGCGCCACACCATCCGCGCATACAGAGGTGCCGTGGTGACGGCGGGCGTCATGGCGATGATTTTGCCGGCCACCTGCGCCACCTGCCGCGCCGTTAGCCGCTCGCCTTCGAGCTGTGTAAGCAGCGCACGGAATCTAGCTAGCTTGTCGTCCGGTACTCTGAATGCTTGCGCCTCCGCATCCACCTCCATTCCCAAGAAACGGACTCGCCTTCTGGGGATCAGCTGGCACTTGGACAGACTGAGGGTGAAGCCCAGGGCTGCCAGCAGCCGTACTACCGCCCCACACTGGAACTGTGCCGCGGCCTTCGACCCCGCGGCACCCATCTGGTCGTCTATCAGGAAAGACATGCGGACCCCTAGCTGCCGTAAAGGCCGGAAAACCTCGAGCTTCATGCTTGTGTACAAGTGGCAGGCCGGCGCCAGGCCGAACGGCAGGTGTGGCCAAAAAAAAGAGCGTCTGCCCCCGCCACCGCATGGCCAGATAAGTGTGCTCCCGTTCGTGGAGTGATAGCTGCCAGTACCCGCTCTTGTCATCCGTGGTGTACAGCCAATCTTCCGGTAAGAGGTAGCTAGGGACTTCTGCCAGTCGTTCATACTTCACAGGCCGGTACCTCAAGAAACAGTTAATGTACATCGGGTTAATACAGAGTCGCAGCTTGCCGTCTTTTTCCATCACCCGCAAGCCATTAACTACCGTGGGGGGAGGCGCGTCGGCTGGCCATTCCCGTATCACTCCTCGGTCCAGGGCCTTTCTCAATTCGGCTGTAACAAACTCATGGTGCTGAGTCGCGCTGCGATGGTTAGGAAACTGCACGGCCCGCGGCCGGTCACCCGCCATCATAAAGTCTAGGTCGCAATCCGGCGCCGCGACCCGCAGCATTTCACGCACTATAGCTAGCTTGCGTCCCCGCTCCGGGGCTAGTTCTTGCCCTGGGTAGTCGCACGCCACCCACTCCAGCTGGATCCCGCCCCGCAGGTATTCTAGCCACTGTTTCTGTTTGTCCGTTAGGGGCCGGCCTTCGTTAGCTGCCTGAAAGAACGCTCGCCACACTGCAACATGTAGCCGTATCCTTCCGGGTTG